CGCCGCCCCATACCAAAAACATCTCCAAAAAAAAAAAAAAAAGAGTGAATACATAAAATTAAATAATCTTTTTTTTTTTTAAATAAAAGGTCTGACTTTATTTTTGTGCTTTTTATTGATGATTTCACTGTTTAAAATGATCTCCAGTACCAGCCAGTGGTATGGTGGTTAAGGTGGCTGGATCCCAGAGGGCAGGCTGCACAATTCACGTCCGAAACATGCCAGGCCTGTTTGTGTACCTGCCCAAAATCCCAAAAGAATGGAAAAGGAAATGTAGCTGGCCATCCTTCACAAGAGGTGCTTTCCCTCTCTTTCTCACCATCTCAGTCCAGCGAGCACACTCGCGACTTATACCCAAAAGTTCATAGCAACTCTACCTGTAACGGCCCAAACATCTTAACCACCTTAGTACTGGGGGATTACCAAGGGACAAAAGGAAACCCTTGGCAAAAAGGCACAAGATCATTGTCTTAACAGTGCTGGTTTCACACCACATACCTATGTCAAACATACCAATTTGTACCATAAACAAGCATGTTTGTTTTCTATCCATATCCTTGAATAAGAATTTTTTTAAAACCAGACACAAATTAAAAAATAGAATGAGTAACAAATATGATTAACAAATATGATTCAAAATCAATTTCCATTTATCAACTAGAAAGACTTTACATATTTTTTGGGGGGAGGAGGTTTTTGCTATAGGGCGCGTGCACTCGCCAGAAAGACAGAGAGAGACAGCGAGATAGAAAGTGAGAAATCACCCCCCAGGGGGGATGGCCACACTGCAATCCCTTCTCCTCCATTCTCCTCTCGGGATCTTGGGCACGCATGCACATGCGTCCGGCATGAGTTTAAGCCACCAGGTCCGGGACTCAAACCATGGTCAACTACATGGGAGTCCAGCAACATAGCCATTATAATAACTGCTGGTCCCTTTACATATTCACCAATAAATAATCTTGCAATATTTTTGAACCTAGAAGAAACTGAGATGATTTGGTAATTCTAAAGGTTTTTATTCACAAATTCTTAATAAGTTAAGAGTCATTCTAACACAAAATCTTTCAAACTAAACATTTACAAAATATCTGCCATCAAAGAATCTACCTTAGTCCATCAGCAGGACAGTAATGTCTCTTTACAGTAATGTGAAAGAGGTTTGTCTTTTTTTCTTTTAATCTTTATTCAGAGGCAAGACATCTTCAAATGTTTTTTCTTACAGAAAAGTGTCCCTCGAAGGTAATGGAATCTCAGGCTTACTACCAATACATGAAGTTTTATTGGGCAGCTTTTTGATGTGGGTTTTAGTTTTTTTCTTCTGGTTAATTTTATTTCACTCCCGTATTACTAGGAAGCCCTCAAATACAATAGAACTAGGATCTTACAATAACAAAACTTTCTTAAAAAAAAAGAAATTGGAGACTCTTAAATACTAGGGTCTCCAGCTAACACAAAGAAACGAAACACTTGAGGCTAAAATACCTCAGTAATGTCAGGCGGCTTTGACGGAAAACTTAACTTTTTGGCATTACTAATTCTACATACATAAATGTTAGACCTTCTAAAACTAAAGGAAAATGTCCCTACAGGCTTGTTTCAAACATCAGTCAAATGCAAAACAGAAAACCAACTCAACCTGATTCTGAGAGGCACCAATCAGGAGCTAGACTTTGCTAGTGGTTTTGAAGATGAACAGAGGTCCGTATTTTGCCTCATGTATCTTTCCCAATACAACTAGTTTTTAAAGGTATACATAATTGATATGCCCCATTTCTGTATATGGTCCACAGCATACTGGGCCAGTTATTATTACGAGGGTGAGAAACTTCAACTTTTTAAGTATCTAGTTTGTCCTCCAAAAGCAGATGTTTCAAAAAGTCACCTTCACCGTAAGATATTGCCATAAAATTCAGGAATTTCTTAAAGTTAAAAACTCTCCGACGGCTCTTAAACAACAAATTAATTTTTATGTTTAAAAGTAGTTTCATAGACCAGCAGATGGCGTAACAGTTACATTACTGGATTCACACGTAGTTGACAGTGGTTCGAGTCCGGACACAGTGGCTTAAAACTCATGCCAGGCATGTGTGTGCTCAAAATCCCGAGAGGAGAATGGAGGCAAAGGGAATGCAGCATGGTCATCTCCCTCACCACCCTGAGGGGTGATTTCTTGTTTTCTGTCTCTCCAACAAGGGCATGCACCCTATAACAAAAATCTTTTTTTGTAAGAGGGTTTTTTTTTTTTTTCTTTTTTTGCTATATGGTCCGTGCGCTCACCAGGAAGACAGACAGAAAGATAGAAAGTGAGAAATCACCCTCCAAGGGGAATGGCCATGCCGCAATCCCTCTCCTCCATTCTCCTCTTGAGATCTTGGGGACGCAGGTCTGGGACTCAAACCACTGCCAACTACATGGTAGTCGAGCGACACAGACATTTTACACTAACTGCTGTTCCCACAAAAATCTCTCTTAAAAAAAAAAAATTGTAGTTTTAAAGGAGGTATGGTGGGTAAGGCGGCTGGATTCTATGTGGCTGACTGCATGGTTCAAGCTCAGGACCTGGTAATCTGAAAAACATACCAGGAACATGTGCATGCATCCCCAAAATCCCAAAGGAGGAAGAAGTGGAGAAGGGCTTGCTAAGTGACCATTTCCCGTGAAGATGATTTCTCACCTTCTCTCTCTGTCTGGCTTTCTCCAGTGTGCACACACACCCTTTGGCAAAAAAACTTTTTAAAAATCTATGAAGGAAATCAGCAACTATTACCCACCACCCCAAAAAAGAGTAACTTTATATGGCTGACAGCATGCTGGAGGGGTGGTGGGGGGGTAATTGGGAGCTCTTAGACACAGCCAATGAATTTTACATCTCCAGTAAACGATCAGAAAATAATCATTACTGCCTTAATACAGTACTGCTTATTTATGAAACCAAAATCAAGTCAAAGGTTTTCTTTTTCTTTTTCTTTTTTTTTTTTTTTGCCTGCTTCATTGCAGATCTGATTCACCTGGTTCTTTTCTCTC